ACAGTCATCGTCTTAACCAGCAGAGATGCAGCCGTATCTCACTGTGTGACACCATGAAAAATCAGAGAACTGATTTCTCCTTTCCTAGCTTTAGAAAAATCCCTTTTCCCAGCCTTTTTATTCTACTAAAGCCCATTGCAAAGCAAAATAATTCATAGGACACCTCACTGCTAGTAGAGTGTCCAGCTACCTTCCCCAGCAAATGCTTCCCACCAATCAGGAACATGTGGTCACCATCCTACAGGCTTCCATAGCCTTCCTAAAAGACCACTCTCCCCCTTTTCTCTACTGCAGTCCCTGTGGTAGACCAACAAGAAACCCAGATTTGGTCTGCACTACCAGATCCTCCATATTGTATGGGACAAGCATATATGTATCTCAGAATCATAGTGGTTGGAAAAGACCTTCAAGATCATTGAGTCCAACCATAAACCCAACACTACCAATTCCACCTCTAACCCATGTCCCTCAGCACCTCATCTACCCATCATTTAAATACCACCAGTAAAGGTGACTCCTTATATCTCATATATATCTCTCTTACGTAAATATATCGGATATGTGTGTGAGATCACAAGACATGGATTCGAGCAAAATTTTCTAACAATTTCATCCAGAAAAGAGAAAGAAAAACAAAAACAAAACCAAAAAAAACCCCCAGACCGTAAGCCTTGGACACATTGCTCACGTGCTCATTTAATTGATCCTCTGCTTTGGTCTGAACTTCTCATAGTGTGTTTGCCAAATTATAGACAGTAGAAGAACCTAAAGGAATCAATGGAACGCCTGTCATTAATTATGACGGAAATGAATCAAAACGGTTGGGAAAAGCCCTAAGCACATCCTATAAGGCTTCTTTCCTCCTCAGGTATTTTACGTCACTTCAAAATATGGAACATCCACCTCCTTTGTAGGGTTATAACATAAAGAAACAGGTTATGGGTTCCTCAGCAAGGCAGGCAGCGTAGCTGGAACTGTTCTGCGTATCCTCTTGTTTCATTCCCAGTTATCTTTTGAGTGAATTCCTAGAAAGTCATTCGTCCTAGAAAGTTTTCAGATGAAAGAATCTCCTAGGGTATAATCACAATGTGCTACCAGAGGAATTTGAAAATTGTCCTAAATGTAGAGGAAAAATACAATTATAACAATTGGGCTGGTGAGGTATTTCCAAAATTTGTCATGTGACTAACAGGCAATGGAAGCACGGGAAGAGCTGCGTTGACTTCCACAGGTCTAAGAAACCATATAAAAGGGATCACAAACCCCACACTCCTCACATCGCTCCTCTTGGTTTACTCTTCTCAGTGAACTTGGTAAGTTCAGATCCTGTTCTCCTAGAGATTCCTTTAACTTGGGAATAAATCCTTTACTAGCATCCTTTGATTTGTAGCAGTGGCAGAATTATTTTATCCTGTATGATTTGAACCTGTATAGTACAAAAAAAAAGTGGGGACATTGATGAATAAATTCAGATTGGTAAGATGTGAAGCCTACTAAGAAGTTTTGTCTTCACATGAGGAAAAGCAACATCTCTACTACTTCAGCTTTTTAAATAGAACAGAAATTTTTTTCTTTTTTTACCCAGTGACACTTAACACTGAAATTTTGGTTTGTGGGCAGAACTGTCTATTATGCAAAGTGGAAATGGCTTTTTGATGGCAAGATGTCGCAATAATGAATATGAACAGGTTACATGAATTGCTTTAGTCTCTCTGAAGTCACTGGAGCAGCTCTGATCTGCAACAGTAGAGGATTTATACCTCTTTTCACTGTGCAGAAGAGTATTTTCAATATCCATCCTAGAACTGGCACTAACAAGGCTTGAAAAACAATATTACACAGGAAAAGGAACGGTTTACACGTCGAGATTAATAGCAGACAAGGAGGCTGACTTTAATGAACTTGTCATATTCTGTATGAACGCTTCTGAGAACTCCTGAAAATGCTGTGTGGGATTCAGGTTGGACATTAGGACACTGACACGTGCATATCCCAAGCTTGGACACCAAATGCTCACAAACACATAGGTTTGGATGTGTATGTGTAAACTGAACTTCCTCTTTCCAAAGTCCAAAAATACAGGGTTATATCCACTTTAAAAAGGAGAACCTAAAGAATAGAAACTGTCTCATGGTTGAATCTAACAAAGAGGGAGCGCAGAAAAGGGGCTGGATAAAATGGAAACCCAAATATTGAGGGATTTGTTTAATATTTCTTTCCAAAACCACCATACTCAGGCCACCTTTGCTGCTGCTCACTGCAAGCTGAGCCTAACCTTTACCTGCTGCTTTGTTTCAGGTTTGCCTCCCTCCCTCCCTCCACCACACCAAGATGTCTTGCTGTTACGAGTACCCCTGCTACAGGACCCTGTGCTGCTCCCCTTGCTACAGGACCATCTGCTACTCACCCTGTTACAGGACCGTGCGTCGCTCCCGGACCTGCAGCTACTACAACCCCTGCAACTTCCGCACTCTGTACAACTGCCGTAGCTACAGGACCTCACGCACAACCCGCTACTACTACCCTTCTTCCTGCTGCAATTACACCTACAGGTGCTGCTACCCTTGCTGCTAAACCCAATGTGAATATCCCTGCAACAAGAATCAACCCCGAACCGGCAAGCAAAGATGAACAACTAATCTCAGAGGAGATGTTTACATCGAGCCCCTGTGACAGCAACTGAAGTTACTGAGAACATGGAGCTTGGCTGCTCTCTAAAATTTCTTGGCATTTGCATTTTCATTGTTCTTTCTGTCTGTTTCTTCCTGTCTTTCTCAACTACGAGTCCTCTCTTGTTATTCTCCTGTATTTAAGCTCTTTTACACCCCTCCAGCAACGGGAACAACGATCTGCAGTTCATTTGAAGTTTCTAACAGTGCTGTTAAAGGACTTCTGCAAAATTACCTTTTGTGTCATCTGCATTTTCAATAACTACTTCCAGTAAGGTGCTGCAGTGCTGGGTAATGGAGAAGTATTACAACTGTCTCTCCTTTGATCTGGATTTACAAGGACCTAAAGGAAAAACAACACAGCTTCAACAAAAAGGAATGTTCTGCAGAGCATAGTGCAATGACTCATCTTCTGTTGCTCTTTCCAGTATCCCAAAACTATAATCTTTCTCTATCTGTACCAACTCCTTTTCTTATTGCATTAAAATTTTTCTGCATTAGAAAAAAAATTGGAGTTCCAGTCATCTTCTTTCCTCTGTCCTTACTTTACATGACTATACTGAGTGGTGGCATCCTGAAGGGACTTTGTCCTCAGTGCTGGCAAAACACTTCATACCTTTCCACCTTCAAAGCAGCTGGTCCTAGTAGATATACTCTTTTCTTCCCTTCTATCCCTCAGAAATTCAAGGAATGCCACAATTTCTCCCTTTCCATCACCTAATCTATTACCAGATTTAAAGTTAATGTATTTCAGCGATATAGAGTTGAAATAATCTTTATAACACTGTTTTAAAATGGAAAATGATTATTTCCAGGACTCTAGAGAGAGTATATAAAGTGCTCAAGTGAGCAGAATATTGTCCTATTCCTGGAAACTAAATTCAAATGTTCTTGTTCCGGAGTCACAATTTCCTATCACATTTCAATTTAACAGACAAATTTCATTACCAGCCAGTGGAACGTAAGAAAAAAATAAAAACTTAGATTAAAAACTATGGGAAAAATGTTAAGGAAGAAGTGGTGGCTTTTTCTGTCATGATGTTGGCCTTGAAAAGTCAAAACACTGCCTTGATCTTTCACACAGGCACTGGGTAGAATAAAATCCATTTCTACAGGTGTGGTTACAATAATTTGGTGCTTTGGGAGCTGCCCGGCTGCCCCTGGCCAGGGAAGCAGTTACAAAGTGCCATCATCTTCCTCCTCATGAAGCCACAACCTCTTAGTTGTAGAACCTCTTGGTTCTACAGCCTCTGCCCATAACATTCAGTGGGAGGGGGGATAAAAAAAATAAATCAGTAAGAAACAGTTGTAACTTTACTTCCTTCCAAAATGTAGGCTCCGAGTATGCTGCCCACTTCCATGCCTCAGGGGCCAATAAACGTCCACTTCTCCTACCAAATTATTTACACAGCAGAAGACAAATTCCTCCTACATCTCCAGCAGAAACCCCTCATCTTTCAACCCTGATTTTTCCAGATCCCTTCCAACCTAGGCTGTTTAATGATTCTATGATAATAGATAAACCACAAACTTATTTCAAAATTAAAAACCTGATGAGTCCACACATTTGTAGTTACCTATGATCTCTTCAACATCAGATCACAGCCAGCGATGGCTCATGTCCTAATCACATCACATTTGCCCAACAGCAACATTGAAATTTTTTAGATTAATTATTTATCTGGAATACACCAAGTGAAAACCCAGAGTTGTAGAAACATGTATAACCAGAGACACAGCTGAAGTTTCTTGCAGCTGCAAAAGTCCATGTTTCTCAGCTTGAGGAAGACAAGCCTCTACAAGCAAATCCTCGAGTACACAAAGTTAATAACTTTGTCACCCCATCGGTGTGATGCTCTTGATTTTAAGATATTTTAAGAAAGGCAAGTAAAAAAAAAATAAAACCAGAAATACAGTATTGATGCAGTATAATTTTTTAATATGAGTGAAAGGCAGATAGACTTTTAAAGGCATACAGAACTGAAAGACCACGTTCCCAAAGACACATTGCACCCTGCCCATACCATTCATTCAGAGTTCGTGGTTTGTACATCATCAAACAAAAAAGCCAGTTTACAAAGAACTGTCGTATCATGGAGGAGCAAGCTTTTGCTCAAGAGGAGAGTTTGGGTGGCAAGGGAGCAAGGAGACACAGAGTAGAATAAAGATAAATCATTGCAAAGGCTTCACCAGCAGCTCAGAGCGCTCAAAGTCTCAGTGGAGGTTGGTTGTTGTCACCAGAGCTCTGCACTCTCCGCTGCTGCTGAGATTCACCATCAATCCGTGCTTGCCAAAAGTGGGTTCATCTTCATTTCAGGGACATTCTTGGGTTTAGTTGGAGTAGCAGTTTCCGTAGCCGAATCTTTGGCCAAATCGTGAACCAAAGGGGTAGCCAAAGCGGCCGGAGTAAAAGCCTGGGTAGCCATAGCAGTCCCCAGAGCCGTAGAAGCCCCTAGAGCCTCCATACAGACCCCCATAGCCGTAGCAGTCCCCAATGCCCCTGTAACCATACAGACCACCATAGCCATATCGGTCACCAAAGCCAAAGAGGCCACGGTAGCCATAGAGGCCCCCAAAGCCACGGTAGCCACAGGGGCTCCCACAGTCGAAGCCCCGGTAGCCATAGAGGCTCCCATAATTGCAGGGAGAGTAGCAGTCATCGTCACACTGGCCTTGGATGAAAGTCATCTTTCTGCGGTGGAGGTAAACCTGAAACGCAGGAGGATGGAGGAAAGCAAAAGTGATAAATACTTCTTGTGGCAGTAACAGCCTCAGAGCCCAAAGACCTTCTCTGCTGGCCCCGTGAGACCAAGGACACAAACCAAATTATGACCAAATTCTTCAGCTCCTTATTACATCCCATTTCTATAATTTTCTCATCTCCTCACTGTTTTTAAACCATTTTATTTCTTTTCTCAGTGAGATC